GCAGACATTATCCAAGGTTTGGGTAATAACACCCTCTTCACCAGATGGCGCCCGACCTACCATTTCAGTGGGCCCGCTGGATGGCTAAATGACCCATGCGGTATGATGTACGATCCTACGACAAAGACGTACCATTTGCATTACCAATGGCACCCCAACCACGTGAACTGGGGCAATATCTCTTGGGGCCATGCCACCTCCAAGGATATGATCACGTGGACTGATGTTGGAGGTTGGGAAAATGACCAAGCTCAGTCTCTCGGCACTGGACCCAACCCTGACTCCCGAAACTCGAGCTACTACGGTTTGGGCATCTTTTCCGGCAGTGGCCAACCGTACAACCTCCATGGTGAGCAGGACGGTACGCTCATCAACTTCTACACTTCGGTGCAGCATTTGCCTACCAACTGGGCTATCCCTTATATCCCCGGAACCGAGAAGCAGAGCATTGCCATTTCCAAGGATGGTGGTGAGACTTGGGAGCAGTATGCTGGAAACCCCATCTTGTCCCACCCGCCAGAGGGCTGGAACATTACTGGATGGCGTGATCCCTTCGTTGAGGTATGATTATGTCAATTGGACTATGCATGTAACATCTACTGACTTGCGCCAGCCTTGGCCAGAAATGGATGCTCTCCTTGGACACGAGGAGCCACACTGGTACATGGCCATGGGCTCCGGCATCAAGGGAGAGAATGGCGGTGGCCGCATTCCCTTCTACAGCGCCCCTGCAAACAACCTGACTGACTGGACTTTCTTGGGTGCTCTCTGGGAGCCAAAGAGAAACGAAACTCTTGGTTCTCTGCTCGAGACTGGAACATACGGCTTCAACTTTGAGGTGTAAGTATTGACGGAGGAAACAGCGTTGACTCAAAGCTGACTGTGCCAGATCAAACTTTTTCTCTCTGAACGACGAGGATGATGATGTTCACTACTACGTACTCATGGGTACTGAGGGTGGAAATCTTACCTGGCATCCACGTGCGCAATGGGGTCTCTGGAACGAGGGACAAGTCAACAAGCGTGAAAATGGCTCGGTCGAATTCACTCCAGTTGCCGGTGGTGCGATCGACTCCGGACTGCTCTACGCTGTAACCAGCTTTGTGGACTCGAAGAACGACCGACGCATCCAATGGGGCTGGGCTAACGAGGAGAACAATAACTTTGCCATTACTCAGACAGGATACCAAGGCGCTATGGCCATTCCTCGGGAAATGTACGTCATCAAGACCAGCCACCTGGTCAACAACGACTCGCAGTTGACTACCAAGGGCAACACTCGTGTTGTCGAGCACGGTAACGGTACTTTTACGGGATACACTCTTGGTGCCCGCCCTCTGCCCGAGATTATCGAAGCTCTCCACAATGGCTCGGAGCCTCAAGTCATTGACGGCAAGGATGGTTGCGCTAGTGGAGACGTCTCCGGCAACGGTACCAGCCACATGCATCTCCAGGTTACCCTTTCCGACTTCACCGGCCCTGCTGGTGTCGTTATTGCGCAGTCGCCCAATCACGAGGAGCAGACCGTTGTGTGGTACAGCCCTGAGAACTATACCATCAACGTCGACCGTTCGCACTCATCTACGATTGTCGAGTTTGCCAACTACACCATGCTCGGCTACTTCTACCCGTACACTTTCGCCAACGGTACCACCGAGTCTCTGCACATGGACATCTTTGTTGATGGCTCCCTGGTCGAGATCCACGTGAACGACCGCTTCTGGCTCACGACCCGTATCTACCCTGCCCGCACTGACAGCACTGGATTCGGCATCTGGGCCGAGGAGGGCTCCACCGTCAAGGCCAAGGACCTCAAGGTCTGGGATATCGACTTCAACGTCTTCCCTGAGAGGCCAGAGAACTCGAGCAGCAAGCTCATCTATGACACCCCAGAGGAAACCAACAACTATGTTTGGTGGACTGGAAACTAAAACATCATGATAGACCTTATGCAGGGATGAGAAAACGCGATATTACTCGTAGCAAAATACAATTAGAACCCAAGAAATAATGTAAATATAATATTCAAATCATATCCTACATCCTGGAAACGATTTTCATGTTTAAGCCGCAGTAGCAACCTGCTTCACCTCCTCCTTGCCCCCATCCAACCCCGCACTCTCCTTCAACTTCCGCAGCCTCTCCTCTTCCTTCTTCTTCATCTCCTCCTGAATCCGCACTCTCTCCGGCACAACCATCTGTCTGGGCCCCGTAATCTTGAAACCCTCAAGCCGCTCCTTCCCCAACGCCTTCATCGTCTTCCTCTCCACAACACTATAATTTCCATCCGGCCGATCAAACACAAACGGCTCTTTGACGCTAACAGGCGGATTCGTAATAACCCTCACATTACGTAGTTGGTTATTCGACGCCGCATGCAGCATTAGCGGATGCAATAGGTACACATCGCCGACCACGCCTGTGGCTTCCACAAACGCATCGTCAGGCATGCTAGCAGCGAGATTATTAAACCAATCCAGATGTTTTTCCTCGACAAAGTCTGGATTCTGCGCCCGAGGCGTCATACGCGGACTCACGCCGTCTGGATTCTCGTACAAATGCTTGGCCACATGCGGTATAGCGGCTGGACAAATATAGGTGCCACCACCGCCCGGTACGATATCAGTCCACAAGGGGATGACGAGGAGAGCTTGCTCGGGGCTATCGAGGTAGTGGACGAAGAAGTCGCCATCGACGTGCCACTGCGGCAGGTCCTGGGGGCGCACGACGGTGTTGTGGCCGGAAGGTGTGCCGAGATTGACGATAAAGCCGTCTTTCCAGGTCGAGGCGTTGGAGTCGACGCGCGCGGAGCCGCCGAGGAGGTTGCAGATGCCGGCCCAGGCTTTCGGGGCGAAGGTCGAGACGGGGAATTCGTGGAAGAAGGGCATGTTTGTGCGTTCCGTGTGCCTGGATGTGGGGGGTTAGTTGGGTTGGCTTTTGGGATCATGTTCTGCAAAAACACACATGTATATATAACACATCCGGATTGCAAGGAGAGAAGTAGAGTGAGGATAGCAAACTCACCATGTTGACATGTCGTTTGGATCCATGCCCAGTCTCGTCCAAAGGGTTTCTTGCAGTTTATCGGCCTGCTCTCGTGTGAAGCAGTTGCTCAACTTGAGCCATCCATTTTCCATAAAGAAGTCGATTTGATCTTGCGAAAGCTTATGCTGCTCTTCTACGTCCGCCATCTTTTTCTTTCACTTTGATCTGGTTTCTTTCTGAAATATAGTAGTATTGCTCGTTGCCGGCGGACTATTAAAGTAAAACAGACTACGAGATAAGAAGTGCAAAACAACTTGCAAAGTAGAACGACGTTCAACAGTCTTATAGTTTACAAACCTAGACATCAAGATGGAGCTATGCGCGAGTCGTAGCCAATGAGCGTAGGTGGTAGAGATCGATAACGGCAGTTCTGCCCATTTATCCGGTGGAAACTGATTTGGCGTCCATTGACCTCGACACACGTGCCGCAGACCACAACGCCCGGCGGACTACGTGTGTTATGTGCGATTGCGGGGTGAACGGTTTGGGCAAGCCGGGCGGGGCTCCTCCGCGGCGAATCTAACGACGAACAATCTGGTTGGTATGAAGGCAAGCAAGAGACGTCATTGTATTGCGCCGCGGCAAGGCACATATAATCCCATGATGTTATCTGACAAAGCTGATGGCTTTGGGGATGGGGAAATGGGGGCGATGGGGGTGATGGGGAAGCGGAGAGGAGTAGAAGTCGCTAATTTGGGGGATTGGGGGTTGGTGTTCCCACCATGGTAAGCAACGCAACTTTTTTTCGCTGACCCTGTTGGACAATAAAGTCCATGCGCTTCTGAAACTGGTACTTAGTACTAAAAGTGACATGTCTCTAGTAACGCCAGAGTTGAAGTCTGACAGGCGGCGCTCATGTAGCGTCAGAAAACAACATGGTTCGTGCCCACTCTCATACATGCGTTGAAGTGTGTTTGAAGGCTGAATCCCTACCGCATGATCTGTCGCGTACTGTAACGCCTGTCACCGTGACTTCTTCTTCGCACTGTGCAGACCTACACCGTCGACATGGGGACCCGAATGTACCTTTGTTTGAATAAGAAAACAAGGTCGAGATGTAGAAGATCACCAAAGGCGGTGTCTGCGTATCCAATGGATTCTGACAGACGCGTACTTATGCCACGACTAGACAAGGCCTTAGCTCAAGAACTGCAATGGGCTTGCTCAAGAAGATGGCTTTTGAAGGCGCCAAGTACCGGTCTCAATGGCATACGTTGCTCTTATCTGGAGAGTAGTCTCCACGTGTCTTTTTACGAATTAAATTGCTTTTAATAGCTGTCAGCTCTTGAGCACATCATTAGGCCCTCGAGGTTCTCGTAACGATAGCGGGATTGTTGCGGGCCGAGCATGGGGACAAGTACGAAGGATGCTGCCCCATTTGCCGATGTTGATTAGAAATGGTTAAGCGACCCGCAAATAAGGTGAACGCCTGAGGACATGATTTGGTAGGACACCTGGCCTCTGGAAAGGCTGACACGCGCTCCAGGTGAGGCTGGTAAATCTAGGACAGCTCTAGAGATTAATGATATGCATTGGAGATGGGCAGCGCTGAAAGCTAGCCACAACTGGATCGGGAAGGCGGAATGAATGGAAGGACAAGCGGGCAGGATAGAGAGAGGGACCCCGGTCAGAAGGCGAGTAGTAGTATACGTAGATAGGATAGACTATGCAGCGGCTGAGGGCAGCAAGGCACACGTGGTCTTACATTGGTGAAGGTCGCATCAGGGCCGCTGCAGGGTACGTGGGTCCTCTGCGCACTAGGCCCATTTGGTGCTCCACTTTGAACAGGCAAGGTGTTCACACTGTATGTTCCGCCACGACGTCCAGTAGAAATAAAAGGCCCACGCCTCACTGTTCTGCTTCTACTTCTACTCCATTCGCTGTGCAGAGGACATTCAAACCCAATTCCTCTTATCACTTCACCGTTCTGTCACGCCACACCCCACCACAGCACAATGAAGTACTCCACTGTTTGCGCCGCCTTCTTTGCCGCTGTCGTTGCTGCTTCCGATGTCAAGCAGCTGAAGACAGACGACTTCAAGGGCTTCATTGAGGAGCACGACCTCGTCCTCGCAGAATGTAAGTGCATTGCCACCCCGCCCCAGCTTCCCCGCTTCCCAATGGCGCAACTGACAATTGCCTCCCAGTCTTCGCCCCATGGTGCGGTCACTGCAAGGCGCTCGCCCCCGAGTACGAGACGGCCGCCACAACTCTCAAGGAGAAGGACATTGCCCTGGTCAAGGTCGACTGCACAGAGGAGCAGGATCTCTGCCAGGAGTATGGTGTTGAGGGCTACCCCACTCTCAAGGTCTTCCGCGGCCTCGAGAACGTGTCGCCATACGGTGGTCAGCGCAAGGCCGACAGCTTGATCTCATACATGACCAAGCAGGCCCTCCCCGCTGTCTCCGAGGTCACAAAGGACACCCTCGAGGAGTTCAAGACTGCCGACAAGGTTGTCCTCGTTGGCTACTTTGCCGCCGACGACAAGGCCTCCAACGAGACCTTTACCGCCGTCGCCAATGGCCTCCGCGACAACTACCTGTTCGGTGCCACCAACGACGCTGCTCTCGCCAAGGCTGAGGGCGTCAAGCAGCCTGGTCTCGTCCTCTACAAGTCGTTTGACGACGGCAAGGACGTCTTCACCGAGGCCTTTGACGCCGACGCCATCCGCACATTCGCCAAGGTCGCCGCTACCCCTCTTATTGGCGAGGTTGGCCCTGAGACCTACTCCGACTACATGGCCTCTGGCCTTCCCCTCGCATACATCTTTGCCGAGACTCCCGAGGAGCGTGAGCAATACGCCAAGGAGCTGAAGCCCCTCGCCCTCAAGCACAAGGGCGCCATCAACTTCGCCACCATTGACGCCAAGGCGTTTGGCCAGCACGCTGGTAACCTCAACCTCAAGATCGGCACATGGCCCGCTTTTGCCATCCAGCGCACCGAGAAGAACGACAAGTTCCCCTTCGACCAGGAGAAGAAGATCACCGAGAAGAGCATTGGCAAGTTTGTCGATGATTTCCTCGCTGGCAAGATCGAGCCCAGCATCAAGTCTGAGCCCATTCCCGAGTCCAACGATGGCCCCGTCAAGGTTATTGTTGCCCACAACTACAAGGACCTCGTCATCGACAACGACAAGGATGTCCTTGTTGAGTTCTACGCTCCTTGGTGCGGTCACTGCAAGGCTCTTGCTCCCAAGTACGAGGAGCTCGGCCAGCTCTACGCCTCTGATGAGCTCTCCAAGCTCGTAACTATCGCCAAGGTTGACGCCACCGCCAACGACGTTCCCGATGAGATCCAAGGTTTCCCAACCATCAAGCTCTTCGCCGCTGGCAAGAAGGACTCCCCCGTTGACTACTCTGGTTCCCGTACTGTTGAGGACTTGGTCCAATTCATCAAGGAGAACGGCTCACACAAGGCTGAGGCCACTGTTCCCGAGGCCGCTGCTGAAGGTATGTCTGATAAACTTGCTCACGAGGCTGTTGTCGCCAGCGAGAAGGGTGCTAATTCTGCTACAGATGCTACTGAGTCCGCCAAGGAGGCTGCCGCCGATGCCGCCGACGCCGTTAAGGACACTGCTGAGAAGGCTACCGATGCTGCCAAAGAGGCTGCTGCTGATGCCAAGGAGGCTGTCAAGGACACTGCGGAGAAGGCCAAGGACAAGGCCGCGAGCGCCAAGGACGAGTTGTAGATGCCTTTGATGCATCCGATTCTTTGATTGTCAACGGCGCCTTTTGCATATACCAGTACCCCTTTCAGCATCTTGCTATGGCTCATATGCTGAGGTATGAGTATTAAAACTGTTATGATTATATGGACGGGTTGGGTAGCGATTAGCTAATGGAGTTCCGGTTTCATATTTTGTTATATTATTGTCTTTGACTGCGATTACAACTGTGATTGGATGAATGTGATGAGCTATTCGTGTTGTTGACTACTTGCAGATTAGAGAGGTCGATTTTCGACTGTCATTTTGTGGCTACGGCAAGCGTGCATTAGATAAATGCCACCATGCATTTCGGGAGGATCGCGCCCTTAGCGTGCCGCGTCCCGAGATGCGATTTACAACGTCGTCATCCATATGTGTGAGGCGCCCAACTCCACCAAATGTGAGACCACCCCTCTGAGTGCGCTCTGTATCGACGTCATGCTGCCTGTAGTTCATCCCTCGATGATCTGTGTGCGATCCTCTCGATTTCCGATACCCGTGATTACTTGACCTTCTGATCTCACTGTTACGTCCGTGTAAATAATCCACTTTCAGCGTATACCAACACCATGTCTGCCCCTCGACTATTTTTACGTTGTACCAACACACTTTTACCACGAATTCAACCTGCAATTCGTAGTACAGCACTTTTCAGACCTACCTCTAGATACTTTTCCACTACACGAACGTTCAGTATGCCCGAGCAACTCAAGGCCAGCGAGGTGAACTCCAAGACGGACCCCTCCGTCGCAAAGCAATATGATGAAGAAACCCCCAAAGACCAGCAAATCAAAGACTTTTTCCAACTCGTCGACGGAAAGAAGATTTGCATGCTAAACACCTTCCGCGACGGCGTCGGTACGTACCTCTTTTCTCCTGCCCCCAAACCACCACAAAGCAAATAAGCATCTAACCCCCCAACCACCACATAGGTCCCGTAGGACGTTCCATGGCGCTCGCCCGCCGCGACGGCCCCGACCTCCTCTTCCTCTCCAACACGCACTCCCAAAAATTCCAGGACCTAGCCCAAAACAACAAAGTCCAAATCACCATCCAAGACACAAAGTCTCAAGACTGGGCTTCCATCACCGGCACCGCAACTACCTGCTCGAACAGCGACCCCCGCATCAAAGAAGTCTGGAGCCGCGGTGCGTCGGCGTGGTTTGGCGATTTGGGCGATGGTGTGCATGATGGTGGACCGCAGGATCCGAGGATGGCGCTGATTGAGGTTAAGAGTGAGTATGTGGTTTATTATCTTGCTGAGACGGGGGCGTTGGGGTATGTCAAGGAGGTTGTGGTTGCGAATGTCATGGGGGGTGTTGCGAAGACGGGGGTTTTGAGGGAGATTAAGGGTGGGGAGCTTGAGAGGGCTAGGTCTATGTGAGTTTTGATTGTAGGGGGGGGGGGTGTGAAGATGGTATGAGCTGAGTTGGACATAGATGTGCGGCGAAGCTTTGAGGTGGTTTGTTACGGGATTTAGTAAGGACAACTTGATGAGTTGGATGTTTTGTTTCTATAACTATGAATTCAGTGTGGGGGTTTAGTGTACGTCATGGAGTCTACTTTATTATTTTCCTTAAAAAGAGATTTCTGTCAGCTTTAGGGTGGAAATTTCCAGCCACCAACAGCGCTCAGATACTATTGTGCACGGTAGTCTTGTGCAACCAACTGATGAAGCTATAGCATCAGCACTTCCCGCTGACACATAACGATCTAGTCCATTTTGTCGCTACAATTCCCGTAACCATCTCATCAGATTTGGATAGCAGCGTGGGGGTTTCATAAGTCACCAAAGAAAATCAGCTTACCATCCTTCCTAACGTGGATGGAAAATTCTACACTAATCTGACTTGGCGGATCATCCATGTCAGCAGAGCATTTCTCGAAAAGGGATGTAGTCGCTTTTACCACCAACATGCGCAGCATTGACCTCGATGAAGTAATTGAGGTGTTATTTGTTGGTTTACGAATGGTGATGGCGGAAGGAGCCCAAGTGTTGGTTCTACGACGAAAAGCATCAGCAAAGAGCGCATAATGAGATAGAAATAGAAACCTCAGGTATAAAACGGTCCGCTTTCTCTCTCTCTCTCTCGGTGTATCAAGCAACAAGCAGTCTTAGATTCCAATACCAACCCATCGCCCACACTCTCCTCAAAACACCATTCCACAATGCACTTCACAACCACCGCCGCCCTCACCCTCCTCGCAGCCGTCACGGCTTCCCCTCTCTCACCCCGTCAAGGAGGCGCCTTCGTCGCTGTCGGTCTCAAGTACTCGGGTCCAGGATGCACGGATTCGACGCTGATTAATGCGGATCCTATTTTCGGTAATGGAAACGTATGTCAGCCGCTTGACCGTTTTGATACTGGAGTACCGATTCGGAGTTATAGTACGTCGAGGGTTTCAGAGGGTTGTAGTGGTAAGTTTCCATTTTTTTCCCATTTTCTTCAAGGGTCGAAGATGGTTTGGGGGGGGGGGGGGGGGGGGGGGGGGGATGTGGGATGTGGGATGTTTTGGATGATTGGAAGAAAGAGAGATGGAGAGAGAGAGAAATGGAAAAATTGGGATGTAGGAGCTGATGATGGTATATAGTGGCGATTTATCAGACTGCGGATTGTTCGGGGACAGCGTTCCTAGCGCCCGTGGGAGGGTATGTGACAGCCGATGGGCCTTTTGTTAGTGCATTTGTGACTTGTGCCTAGATGGTGGAGTCAAGCTTTGCCAAAGTGTATAGAAGGGTGGATAGGCTTCTTGAGGTGGAAAGTGTAGATTAGCTACTACCTTGAGCCTAGCAATGGGCATGTGGATAGTTGTTAGAGGTACGAATGGAGATATGAAAACCGTATGCATGAGAGCAGGTTCACTTTTGCCAATGTACACTATACATGTATATTCAAACAACAAGTCGTACAGGAGTAAACAGGTTGGAAATATGGTGATGGACACCAAAAGTGGGGTGCCATGCAGCGTCATTGTCATTGCCCCGCATTCGTCATGACCAGCATCACATTTGCAAAACGATGACCCCGTGTTTGCAGTATCAATGGCTGCACAGATGTCTTCTCTAGCTATATATTGCGTGCTTGGCCACAAAACACCTGATTCCCACTTTTCTTTGAATTCAGAAACCTACCACAGCTACAACACCAAATACAATTGAAAACCATGGGCAAAGACCACCCTGATGCGGACCTTCACCCAGAGGCTACAGGCCTGGCAGCAGCGACAGTCAAGGTATGTTGATAAAGAATATCATCTCTACGTCACAGGCCTAATATCACCCAGGCTCACTCAGCCGAGTGTCCTCTAAAGCTCTACTCGGGCTGGTTTTGCCCCTTTGTTCAGCGTGTATGGATTGCCCTCGAGGAAAAAGGCATCCAATATCAATACATTGAAGTCAACCCATATCACAAGCCCCAGTCCCTGCTTGATCTTAATCCTCGCGGCCTTGTTCCCACACTGCAATACCAGGGCAAGCCGCTATATGAGAGCACTGTTCTTTGCGAGTTTCTCGAGGAAGCATTTCCACAGCACACACCGCACCTGATGCCTACGGATCCCTATGAGCGTGCGAGAACAAGAATCTGGACAGATTATGTGGGTAGTCGCATCATTCCCGCCTACCACCGCTTCCTCCAGCATCAAGGCGATGGGCTCGAAGAAAAGCAGAAGGAATTCTTGAATCACACCAAGGAATTCACGCGAGAGATGGACAAAGAAGGACCGTTTTTCTCAGGCAAGGAATTTGGACTCATTGACATTGTGATTGCGCCCTGGGCCAACAGGCTATGGGTCTTTGATCACTTCAAAGGGGGTTCGGGTATTCCTGACGAGGGCAAGGGCGGTGAGGATGAGGAGGTATGGAAGAGGTTCAGGAAGTGGCTCGCTGCTGTTGAGGCCAGGAAAAGTGTCAAGGAAACGTTGAGTGACAGGCAGCACTATTTGCCCATTTATCAGCGATATGCAGAGGACCGGGCCCAGAGTGAGGCTGCAAAAGCAATTCGGGCTGGCAGGGGAATTCCTTAGGTGTCGAGAATAATGTTGCATGCGGTTGGAAAGGGGTAATGGTGAACGTATGTATGTGGCGGTGCTAGGCGCAGAGGTGTGGTAATTAGCCGTTATGGATTGCATCGTGATGGAGAGCCGATGCAGCATTCAGCTGGATGAGTGACGTCAAGCCGAGGGAAGCCGGGATGGTGTTTGGAAATGTTGATGTTGCCCCAGCGACGATATTGACAATGGGGGATCCACAACAACGCCACAACCGGCTAAGCGTCAACGCATCCACCTTTGAATCCACCCTCGACTCCCTTGGGCACGACGACAACCCTCTACCTATGCGCCGGCGCTCTTTCTATTCGAATTAATTCACACTCGCACGCCAGCCGCCGACATGTACGGGTACACCGCAGGCACGCCATGCCCGGCGCCCTACGGGTCAACAAGCAGCTACTACCCTGGCTACGGAAGTCAATACGCGCCTAGCTATCTCGACGACGACAACACCACAGCAAATATCGAATACACGACCGAGCTAAAAGCGGCCGCTCGCCAGGCGAAGCCCCGACGACCTATGCGCAATGCCACCAGGCCTGCGTTCAATCCATCACTAGACATTTTCGAGGATGTCGCACAGGAGGAGGAACAGCAACAGCGTGCAGCTTTCGAAGTGAAAAGGAGGAGTCGCGCCAGTGTTATTCCCGCGGCCACAAAGACAAAGAAGAGCACGATTCTCGCCCATCCAGCACAGAAGATGCCCAAGCCTATAGCGCCTGTCCCCGAACCACAACACGAGAAGCCCGCCCGACGACGCGTGTCGCATATGCCAAGTGAAAACTATGCTACCGAAGTTAATGCCACTGTACAACTGCAAGAAGACATTTTGGACAAGAAGGAGCTTAAGAAGCAAGGTCCTAAGAAAGAGGCGCGCAGGAGGACAATATACATCCCAACCGACGAGACGTCCTTGTTTACAATCCACCCAGGACAGCCCACACATGCACCACGCAACACTCGGGAAGCATCCCCCGATCTTGGACTGGATCTCGTCACGTTATCAGAAGAGGAGGGAAACAATCTCTTGCCAGCTTTGAAGAAGGAAAAGAAAGTCCCTCGCAAATCGCTCGCCGCGCCACCGAAACGCGGTCCTCTCAGCACAACATCGCGCTCGACGCAGAGCACATCTTTTTCGAGCGATATTGCAGGTTCAGGCGGTGGCAAGGAGAATATGCCTCCGGGTATGGCGATATATGAGAAGAAGAGCAGTGGGACGCATATTGAAATCAACTTCATTAAGCCAGAGGCGAAAAAGACTTTGGCAAAAGCCCCCAAGGTCCGTTTCAGTGCACCCAAAGAGCCAGAGAGGATATTGCAGACCAAGAAACGAACCGAAGGAACGCAAAAGCGACCACGATCGACCGTAGGCCACGACGATGTTCCAGTAAAGGCACTTAAATCGCGAGCGGATGTCACTGCCTCCACTGCAAATAGCAGTGCATCTTTGAGATCAACCATCAAGACTGAACGAGCAAAATTGGCCAAAGCGAAGCGTGCACCGCTGTCTTCGTCGCCATTCCACACCGACAAGTCCCCGCCCACAGCATTACGGCGACAGAAGACCGGAAGTGTAGCAAGCAGCATTACCATGCTTCACGAGGTTGGCAAGCAGCCACAGCCGCAGGAGAAATACCCAGTACTACGCGAGGATCTTGTTCAGCCAGAACTGTACGAAGACAACTGGCTCACCTACCAAGAGATTGCCATTACACAGCTTCTGAACTCGGTGTTCGACTCGGCGAACAAGGACCCAAATGCTGAACAAACTCCGGAAGATTTGCGCAAGAAGATGCTTGATATATATCACGACCCTGCTATGCCACCCCTGCACAAGCGTCTGCAAGCTTCACTACAGTGTGGCGCGTTGAGCATACCTAAGGATCTTTTGGCCCAGACACTGAGATTGAAGGATGATGTTGGTCTGCGGAAGAAGTTCCTCAACTTGTGGACAAAGTCGTACGATCTGAATGCACTTCGGGCTGCAGCTGAGACAATTGTTGGTCGCCAAATCACCACGCCATGCCGTTTGTCTACCGGTTCCACTTGCTCGGACGATGGATCTCGCCAATATCGCGCTGAACGCCGGGCGATCGAGAGCTTCTTGTCTGCGTTCTTGATCAAGAACGAAGATGCGGTTCGCGTCAAATCTGGAGGCGGTAGCATTGCTAGTCTCACACGTGGTGACGATGATTTTGGATCGCAGGGCTGGTCGTGGCGCCGTACCGCACTGCGAAGTCTGATGTTGATTCTTCTTCTTGACCAGGCAAAGACTACGAATGCCTTGTCGGGCTGCTTGTTCCAGACAACATCACCATACAAGACGTCTGTGGAGATCCTCCACCAGCTATCCAAGATGCTTATCCCTTCGCATGGCGACATTACTCGACCGCTCCACCATCTCAACTATAAGGTCGAGCATGCTCAATACCCGCTTCAAGAATACGCGTACCAGATTGAGAACATCGCAATCGACCTTCGCGATGGCATCATGCTCAATCGTCTGGTGGAGCTGCTACTTTACCCAGAACAGCAGGAGGAAACTGTGACACTCAACTTGCCAACCGGCGAGCTGCTCACTAGTGATGTAGCACAGAAGGATGCTTGGATTCTGTCACAGCATCTCAAATACCCAGCTATTGGTCGTCCACAAAAGGTGTACAACGTGCAGATTGCCCTTGCAGCCTTGAGCAGTGTCCCAGGGATGCCAAGCGCAGCAGTCAGCGGTATTCGAGCCGAAGACATTGTCGATGGTCATCGCGAAAAGACTCTCTCCCTGCTATGGTCGCTTGTCGGAAAATGCGGGCTAGGAAGCCTCGTGGACTGGCCGCAGTTAGTCAAGGAGACTGAGCGCTTCCGCAGCCAATGGTACCGAGCAAGAGACAACTTTGAGGGACGAGTCCTCGATTCCGACAACGAAGAGCCAGAAACGACTGAGCTGGACGGAATGGCATATCACAAGCGCCTCCTCCTCTCCTGGTCTCGCTCCGTCGCCCGTCTCCACGGCATCCGCGTAGCGAACCTAACGACGAGTTTTGCAGACCCCAAAGTACTTGAGGTCATCGTCGATACGTATCTGCCTTCTAACCTCACTAGCTCCATCCCAGATGGCAGCAAATTAGGTCTAGGCGCAAAGCTCAAGGCAGTCGGTTGCTCAGCTTCCTTCATCGCACTCTTCACATCCCAAGACAAAACCGCCCGCTCCATCCCTAGCCGCGACTTCACCCTCCTAACCCTCTCTTTCCTCGCTTCCCGTCTCCTCCCCCTTGCACGCACCCACCGCGCCGCAACAACGATCCAAACTGCATTCCGCCGCTTCTTGCTGCGCCGCCAGACCAGCGCGCGCATAAAGGCTATGCAGATTGCACACGAATCGGCGGTTGTTGCGCAGGCAAGACAGAAAATGGTGGATGCTGCGACAGTTATTCAGCGGCGCTGGAGGGGTATCCAAGAAGCGAGGCGCATTCAGTTGGAAAGCGATGTTTTGGCTTTCCAGGCGCTGGCCAGGGGCTGGGCGATTCGGAGGTGGGCTAGGCGCGTTACGGCGGGGAGAGTTGGGGGGAAAGAGAAGGTGAGGAGGGTGCGGGGTGGATGGTAGAGGTTTGGATGGAGAGTGCGGGAGAGGCGGGGGTGATATGATGTTTAACGATGGGATGGTGTTGGTGTTTAGGACTGTTTTTTCTTTCGGTTTTCTTGGATGGATGGGGTGTTAATGGTCTTTCCGTGTGGTTTTTCTTTTTGGTTGTACTCGGACGGAAGTTTTTTTTCTTACGACGACAGTTGTAATGCCCTCTTTTTTACGTGTGTATATTTTCTACCACGCTCGTTTGATATCCACATACTTAGACTGGTTTATTCAATTGTTTTCTTTATGCTTGTCATACTTGATCTGGTGCTTGAGTGAATAGATGCATGGTAACTGGCATAATTCGTACGTGCGTATATGAAGCTTAGATAATGGGAATCATAACATCTGCCAATCCTTGTCCAACTCGTTTTGGGGCGATGTAGGGCTCATGGTCGCATCAGTCCAATCGCCATCGACACTGTCTTCTTCTCCTTGGTCCTCCTTCTCCTTCTCATCTTCTTCTCCATCATCATCATCATGCTCCTTCTTATCTTTTTCTTTTGCTTCATCCTTCTCCTCTTTTCCCTCCTTTCCCTCCTCTTCTTTCTCTTTGTCCAGTCCACTTGGTTCTGCAACCTCAGACCCATGCTCCTCAGTCTCATGTTTCTGTGGTGGTTCACTGACCGTCTGGAGCGGAGGGGGCCGACGTGCCATGGCCATCATAGTTTCTGAGAATACACTAGGATCGTCGTACTCTCTCGTCTCCCTGCTACAGCAATCATCGATAACCACTATGATCTTGACGTCTCTGCTTTGAAGAAGAATGCCGAACTCACATGCCGCACTGCATAATTGCATCCCATTTGGACAGACAAGGAGGTAGAGTTTTTCAAATCCCGGAGCATGTCGTACAAGATACTCAGCGAGGTCTCTGTATGCTTTTCGGGTAGCCTCGGCAGAAGAGTCTTCCTCGTAAGGTTGGATGAGCAGACAAAGACATGAAATGTGTTTTCGGGCATGGGGATTCAGAGTTAGCCATTTTAGTGTAGCGTATGCCTGGTATCGTCCGCGGGGGCAAGGGCCTGTTAAGAAAAGAAATTTCCGGCCTTGGTACACAGATGGATCTGCATCAGGGTGGATTTGGCTGCGTTGGGCTTTTTCTTCCTCTGTAGCCGGCCGTAGCATGTTGATGGGGCCATGGGGGGCTTCCAACACCCATAGATCTTCTTTCGCTGTCTTGAAGCGAACTACGGGTTCTACGCACTTGAATCGAGTGTATATGTGACCTGGTTCTGTGTCCTTTTGCGGAGAGAGGTCTGTTCTTTGGCAATGGCAGATGTCAATCTGTGTCAGTCCTGCAAATGTGGTATTGCTAGGGTTGTGTAGATGTGGCCAGTCCAAGGAATAGTTGATTGTCGTAACGTCGGCTGGCAGTATTGGTCTGTCCGCACATGGGAACATGGTAAATGCTGTCTCTTTGTATATAAAGAATGGTCGGCCCCACCCGGTGAGGTTGAGTACAGACTGCCCTGTGCCGGCTCACTGCCTTGCTATGTCGTCAACTCGCCCAGCACGGGCTTGATGATAGAGCATGATGCATACCGCTCTTTTTGGAAGACTGACAGGCCAAGGCCGTGGAGTGCAACAGACGGGGGCAGATGGCGAGACGATGGTGTGGTGTTGATGTGTGGATGAGCTAAGGGCAGCGAACGTCATTGGCAGCAGGCCCATGCACAGCGTACCTACCTAGATAAGCGTCACGATGCACCGCGGCGGCATGCACCTCCGAATCATCGCGTCATGTGTGGAAAGGTAACACGGTCTTGTACTGCTGTCTAGATGCCCGCCCACCACCATCTTGATGGACGAGACTGGCAGCGCTGAGCCCCAGACGCCAACCTCTGAGGGACCCGGCTCGCCTACTACGCCCACGCAGAAGAGCAGCAATGCATCGGCCGCATCCGCCAGGGGCGATTCAGTAGAGTCGCACGACTTTGCCAACCCGACCCTGACCATAATACGAGGCTTTTCGCGCAAGAATTCGACTGCATCGCTGGCATCACAAGATGCACCCCCGCCCCCGCTGCCACCGCGACCGGCCATGGGCCTGCTGTCGCGACCTTCGACGTCGCACTCGATGGCGCCTTCAAGACCGCAGCTCCTGTCCAAGGCCACCACCCAGCTGTCCATCGCCAACACGCAGGCCTTTTCTGCCGACCCCAAGGATGCTTCGCCGACATCTACAGCACCCAGGCCGCGCAACTTTGGGAGCATCAGCATGGCCACCCGCAATATAAACGATGCCGATGACAGCGCAAGCATACGCAGCTATGCGCCAACAATCGAGGCAGGAGGATACCAGGAGAGCATATTGGGCGAAGTCATGGGCCCAACAGAAAAGTCGGAGCAAGAAAAGTCGCTCCTGCGGTCTTTGGGACAGAGGTTTGCCGACGCAGAGTCGCAAAGCATGTTCCCACCAGATCCAGACTTTGAAGCTGCTTTCCGTCGCGAGTTTGACGACGTTGACGGCTTGAACGCTGACGGCTCGAACGAAGGTGAGCTTCATGCTGTATGTCAAGAGGGAACATTTTCTGACCGAGTCAACAGAAGCGATTATGCTCCAGTGGCGCGCAAAACTCAAGCATTTCCTCATCCTCTCCAGCGCCGGCAAGCCTATATACAGTCGCCACGGCGACGATCAATTGATTACAAACTACATTGGTGTTGTACAGACCATTATATCCTTCTACCAGTCCACTCACGACACCCTGCGAGGCTTCACTGCCGGTGATGTTCGCTTCGTCGTTATGACCAAGGGCCCGCTCAATCTGGTCGCCATTACGCGATTGGGAGAGAGTGATGCTCAGCTTCGCTCACAGCTCGAGGCACTATACATGCAGATTCTCTCAACCCTTACGCTGCCCAGTATGGAGCGCATGTTTGCTGCACGTGCAAACTACGACCTACGCCGCCCCTTACAGGGAACAGAGACCCTTTTGTCTGCTCTAGCAGATGGTTTCACTCGAGGATCTCCTTCGACACTACTGTCGGCCCTCGAGTGTCTAAAACTGCGCAAGTCTCACCGTACTGCCATCAACAACACATTGCTCAAAACGCGGTCGGAGAACTTGCTCTACGGTCTGATTGTAGCATCTGGTAAGCTCGTGTCGGTAGTACGACCCAAAAAGCATAGTCTGCACCCAGGTGATCTTCATCTCATCTTCAACATGCTGTTTGAAGCCGGCAGCGTCAAGGCTGGCGGGGGTGAAAATTGGATTCCGCTCTGCTTGCCTGGCTTCAACAACACGGGCTATCTGTACATGTATGTCAGCTTCCTGAATCTAGACGACCCAACGGAGCATATGCAGGAGCGGCCTCGCACGAGCGACGGCGCGGACGATGAAGTCGCGGTCCTATTGATTAGCGCGGACAAGGAGAGCTTCTTCGAGCTCCGACGCATGAGGGATGATTTAATCGAGGTACGTATTGATAAACTTTCCAGCCCTATGGCTTTGTCCGGTTTTTTTCGTATGACAGTGTGTTTGCAAAATCCCCTTATTTTCTGATTTCCAGATGGGCAAGGGCTCCGGACCAGGGAGGTGTCTTGTCGAGACGCGTGGATTGCTGGTCAAGTGCCCGCCCGTTTTCCATGGATGGTGGACAATCTGGTCGAATGATGTGGAGCGGGGAAATTGCCGTATCCTGTCATCATGGATTGTCCATGGATCGCTGTCCCGTGTGAGGCAAAACGGCTGCATGGGCACAAAAAAAGAGGACGGCATGACGGGTCTCTGGATAGTGCACTCTTCGGCTTCGGAGACTGCGTTCCCCGACACCGCCTCTCGTCAAGACGCCGACCTGAGCCCTCCAGGGTGGTGATTGCATTTTGGATCCGACCACAGCATTGCTCACCTCCCTTTTCCTTTGATCGGCCCTGCCCAGAAAAGTTACCAAGTCATCGGTAATCACGCATGGCCACCCTCATCTGCCTGCATATCTCTCCCTCTTGTTTTTTAATCTATATCGACATGATAAAGGGAAGGAGATAGAAGAAGCATACACGCTAACGGGTGGTTCCGCAGAACTTGCAGCGCATCGGGGCTATCGACGCGATACGCAGCGCGGTCCACCAAGGCCGGCCCACATGCACTGACATTGTCCCCGGCAGCCCGCTAAGACACTTTCTGTACAAGTCGAGGGGAAACGTCCAATTTACCATGCCGAGCTATGCTCCATACTTTGCTGCAGATTTGGAGAAACGACGGTACGTTAAGCTGCATTCCTCACTACCCCAAAAAGCCACATTGATTACCGCCTCTTCTTTTTTTATTGCTTAGCAATCTTTCGATTGTCAGCCTTGCGTTTTGCTTGGCAATCAAAGTGCATGTGGTCGTTGAGATCGCGGGGCTGGTTCTACCCTGTCCCATGCCAATCTCCCTTTTCCTTCTTGAGCATCAGACTTCACTGCATCTTGAATGTTTTTTTGCTGATCAAAGCGGGGGGAGGTGCGTGTATGTGTGTACTAATGTTGTCGCAGGCTAATCAATCTCTACAACAAACTCCACAGCAACATCCATGGTAAACCCTCGACGCTAAAAGTGCACCACGAAACTAACACGACGTGTATGGCGCTCGCATGGAGCACACCGCTGTTTGAGCTATACGCTGTTGCGCCTGCGAATATGTCGAGGGCCGCGCTGGCGCAGAGCGCGAATAAGATCATCCAATGGGTACGGAGAGAGGAGGAAAGAGTCTTTATTATTGGCGGTGCGGTCTTTTAGACTGGACTGCTGTTGTCGTTGCATGAATGTGGCGAGTAGGTAGTCGTGTCAAGTTTTTGTGGGCGACTGTACACATGGAGTATGTACAGCCGCAACAACAAACTAAATATGCAACATGCACGATATGACTTGATTTGTGTTGGGATTTGCTTGTAGTAGTAGACTGGTATACAAGTGAAGGACTAGGGTGCGGGGTATGGGGGGAAGAAGATATATTGTCCTACATGAGCATACACGCATGGACACGGGTACTTTGTAAATCAATCTAGACACTACCCTTTGGTAAAGCGCCCGCAGCCTTCATCTCCCCAAACACATCCTTCAAGCTCCCCCATGTGTCTCTGTACCCCGTCCAGCCGTATTCACGCGCCTTGCTCATACTAATCACGAGATCAAAGTTCCTGCCGAGAACGAAGCCCAGGAAAGCCCACGTTGCCTTGTCAAAAGCGTCCTTGTCCAAGCCCTCGCGGTCTGCAAGTGCATTCCACGCTTGCCTGACATCGTCGCGCTTAGACCACTTTACAAGATCAATGTGGTTCTCGACGTGGCTGGGCTCCAGCACCGGCGTGCCCTGCAACCCTCTCTCATCCGCAACTGCAGAAATAGGTGGTTGAGGCGCCATCTGCACAGTCGAAGACTGGCTCTCGGTGCCCACAACCATGTCTTTGATTCTACCGCTTATGCTCGCTGCACCACTGCCGCCATAGACACTCTTGAACTGGTCTGGTTTGACGGTAGTACCAAAGTAGTGTGCAACTCTTGGCCAGAGATTCTGGTAACTCTCGACATCGCCGTTTGTGATGTTGAAGGCTTGGTTGGCGGTACGCGGGTCGAGCGCTGCCCATGCGCAGAACTCGGCGTGGAGTTTTGCGCTGGTGAAGCAGTTGAATTTGGTGTAGAAGGCGGGGGAGCCGGGGAACTCGATGCCACTATTGCCAGACATTTCCTTAGAGACGAGCACGTAGAGAGCCAAGGCTGCAGAGAGATTCATAAAGTTTCCTGATGCGAAGCCGATGACATCGTTGGGGTACGTTACTACCCATTCTTTGTTGTGCTTGGCGCAGAATTCGTGCAGGATGTTTTGCTGGTTGTAGTAGAAGTTTGGCGGCCATTTAGATGAGGTGAGCCAGGGTGCGTCTTCTTGCATGGGCTGCTGGGGCACGCCGAGGTGGACGCCGTATTGTTTTGCGCCGCAGACGAGGATGATTCGCTTGACTTGCGATATGGTGCCTGTTTTCTCTAGGGCACAGAGGAAGTTTGAGAGCATTCGGCCATTGACTTCCCAAGCGTCTTCTTCTTTATCCTGGGCGAGGTAAGCGGCGAAGAATATGTACTCTCCGCGCACGTTTTTGAGGTCATTGGCCATGGTGTCTGGGTCGGATTGCAGGTCAATATGGTTGTGGATTACGGTCTCGGGGTAGTCTTCTTTCTTGCTCCGCGAAAGTGCGTGTATGGTGGGCCATTGTGAGCGGTGTTTGCTGAGTTCGAAGACGATCTCGCGACCGAGGATGCCTGTGCTATATTAATACATGCTGGCCATATTCTGACCAAGACGTACCGGTGGCGCCGGTGACTATCGCTGAAGGCATTGTATTTTGTAGACGATTAGTTTGTATATATTGCGAACTTGGAAGCGCAGTGGAAGTATAGCATAAAAAGTATGAAGACGTTCATGACGTA